TTTTTTTTCCATCTTACAACCCCGTCCCTGCAGAAAACACGTTGCGAGCCTCTTGACACTATCATTATTTCCATGGAAAAATATTAAAACTGACTACATTTCTTAGTTCCATCAACTCGCAGCAAATATCCGCCACTCCGCGTACAAGGAGACGAAACATCCTCATTCCTTTGCTATTCCATTAGTGGGAAGTAAGTTCCACTCGAGCAGCTTTTTACCCATAGACTGTTTCTTTGTGGAACCAACTCCCAATAAGATGCTTTCTCGAGTACTACAATATTAACTTGTTCATGTTTATGGTTAACCATTATCTTTCCCACATATCCTCATAAACTACGCCTCTTACTCTTACCATTTACACAGCCAGCTCTTTCAGTAACCCTCTACTTTGAGTTACTCTTGATCATTGTATAAGGTGAACATTAGTAAAAAAAAAAAAAGCAAGTAAACTTCATTGTTTAGCCTCTTTTCCAGATTTATCGGTTATCCAGGCAGCTGTCAAATTATTTAAAGTAGTATTTGTACAACTGATAAACCAAGTTGACTTTCACATTAAATAGTGACTATGTAAACTATTAATAAAGAAATGTCTCTATATTAAAATAGAGTAGTTTTCTTATTAATTATAATGTAATTAATCTGAAAATTAGTATAATATAAAAGATATTTAAAAAAATCTGTAACTGTATTTACAGGAAAAGACACAGTAGTATTTTTAGTCGATAACGACTTGTTCACCACTTGTTTTTACTTCCTTGCCTTTTCTACTTGTTGATAACGGCAAAGTGATCGAGTTCTACCTGGTACATTGTTGTTTCTTTTAACAATGTCATGTCCTTGAAAATGTTTCAGGTAAAACATAATGAGCGACGAGGAAAAAGCAGTGATTGCTAATACATTATCACTTGATAACATGTTTTTGATATTATTTAAATAATGATATTAAATTACAAATTTATCTATTTCATGTAATTAGTATCAGTTAATAATTTTTTCTGAAAGAGCTTTTTAAATAAAACATACACACATATATAGTTACTCAATGTTGGGAAGTTTTTCCATGAAAATAATTTAAAACCTAGTTTCCACCGTCTCCTTCAAAATATTCCCTTTCGGGTGTTAGGGCAATGTGCATACTATATTCATTTTGCGTGCACTGATCATATTTCTTGAACTATTGGGCAGTCTTTCGTGTGTGTGTGACAGTGATTACTCAAATCGTATACAGGAATCCCTCGATTAGTGAGGCTAATGTTTATATCGGTAACTATAAAAAGATCAATTTTCAATTACTCTGTTTAAAGTGAAGAATGTTTTGCTACATTAATCGAGTATTATATATGCACTAATCGAATTTGGTATATAAAAATTTTAGCGCACTAATCGAAAGCGCATTAATCGAGGGATTCCTGTACATACATTATTTTGGTCTCACACTGTCCGCTGACTGAGGTGGAACAATTACATTGAATCAATAGCTTCATCTATCGCAAGGAAAGTTGGTTCTCAATGTCGCACCAGAAAGTTTTTCTCGCCTGAGTTCATCCTTCAAATCTATAAATCAACCATTCGTCCTTGCATGGAATATTGCTGTCATATATGGTCTGGAACCCCCGCTGTTCGTCTTAGACAGATATGCAATGTGCTTGCCCCTGATCTGACATCTCGTTTACAGTCGCTCTCTCACTGACCTGCCGTCGCCTCCCTCTGTATTTTCTACAAATACTTTCACGGTAACTGCTCCGACGAGCTATTTTCGCTAGTTTCCAAACTGCATGAATTTAAACGTGCTGTTAGGCCGGCATCTCAGTCCAACCTTTTCACTGTCGAAACTATTAAATGTAGCCGTCTCTTCTACTCTAATAGCTTCATGTCTTGCACTTCCCGTCTGTGGAACTCCCTTCCTTTTACTTGCTTCCCTGATAGTTATAATCTCCAACTATTCAAATGCAATGTCAGTCGACATCTCCAGATGTATTGATCTATTCCCCGTCCTTCTCTTCATCCTCTCCTCTTTCACGCCTCTTTACTCTTGCTCTCATTTGCGGGCTAGTGGCACCCTCGCCTTGCTTGGGGTGAAAGGTTTAAAAAAAATGTTTGTAGTCTAATATTTTTCTTTTGACTTAATGGTTAATACCACGGCTGATGTTTGGAGAACAAAGGTTTTTCTTAAGTGCAAATAGAAATGGAAATGTGTAAATAAAGTCCACTGGTAACTCAAGTATATAAGCATCTTTGGGCTCACGTTCTCAGCTGACATGAAGTGGAAGTACTATATTGAACCCATTGCTCAGTCAGCTGCTAAGAAAGTTGGTTCAATGTGTTGTGCGAAACAATATTTCTCTTCTGAATCTATCTTACATATCTATAAGTCTATCATTCGTCCATGCTTAGAATATTGCTGTCATACATTGTCCGGTGGCCCTGCTATTTACCTGAGCTCCTCGATAAAATAAAAAATAATCAGCAATATTATTGGTCCTGATCTGGCGGCTCGGCTTCAGTCACTTACCCACCGCCGTAAGGTTGTTTTCTGTCTTTTTCTATAAATACGTCCATAGTAATTGTTCGGATGAGCTCTTTACTATGGTACCTAGACTTTTTGAATTACCAGTACCAGACTTGTGTTGAGATCTCATCAATTTACAGCCGAAGAAGTAAATTTTGGCAAATTTACTGATAATACAAAACAACTTATTCGGAAATTTGAAAGATTTAATGAAAAAAAAATGAAAGACAGATCTTGTCCATATTATATAACAAAAGAGAATTCTTGCTGCCGAAATACTTATTTAAATTATATAATCGTACAGCGAACAAGAACACTAGCATACATACATAAATATATACGTTTGCAAAAATAAATGTCGTTAAGTGAGCCAACATTAAGCAAAACTCAGATGTACGTAAATTATTTATATTTCCAAAAGTCTGGATTTCATCAAATATCAGATAGAAGATATCCTAGTGCAATATCTGTTCTCATTAGATACGTTGAGTGTATACGTGTATGATATCCAATTATAAAGAAGAAAACTCGTAGTGTGTGCTTATTTCATTCTCATCTACCTTCTCATATTTTTTATCCTGTTTATTCCGATAATGAGGCATACAATGTCAATAACATTTAAGGCGGGCAAGTTAGAAACCCAGAAAAATTAAATCACTATCAAATAATATTTACTGGTTTGGTCTGGACTTTTTCTTCCTTGAAAATTTATGACATTTCAAGTTCATACCTTTCCCAGTTCAACCATTAATAGGAAAACAGTACTGAGACACAACGTTTGATTTACCAAATTTTCACATTGAATATTTCTATCCTTGAGAAATTGTATATATATATATATATATTGTATTACCTTTAACTAAGGAAAATAAACCTACCTACCTATCTATCTATCTATCTATCTATCTATCTATCTATCTATCTATCTATCTATCTATCTATCTATCTATCTAAACAAAGAAATAGCACTAAGGAACTAGGTTTAAATCGTTACTCCACGTTCCACGTAGACTGATCGACATACAAAAAGAATCATTGTCGTGCGACGATCGCTCTGTGAAACTCTTAAGTAATAATTTATATCTAGTCTCTTAGTGTTGTGCCTTTGGATAGTGTTACTGCCCTGTTTGTGTTTATGTACTATAAACATTGAACACTTTAAGTTATAGCCTCGCTAAGTGTATGCCTTTTATTTTCTCTCTGTTTACTTTCCCTTCATTTGTCGTTTTCGTTTCTTGGTTTCTTTTCCCGTTTCAGTTTTTTGTTTGTTGGACATGTTTAGTACTCGTTGGATTGTATTTGGAAGCTTTACGAACAATTTGAATTGTTTCATTTATCTACAGATTTTTTTCTATATTCAGGAGGGAGAGTACTCAATTTAAGGGATAGAACATATATATATATATATATATATATATATATATATATATATATATATATATATATATATATATATATATATCAGCTTGGATTGAGGAATCAGAGAGCCGAGTTCGAATTCCAGTCGAATCTATTACATTCACTTGTGCTAATACCCTTGGGAAAGGTATGAATCCTCTTCTTCTCCCTCCAGCTATGAGTAAATAGCAGGACATACTGGGTTTTATAGCCTTGGATGGCAACTGGTCTAGGAGAAGGACAACTATGAATTCAAAACCTGCGGAGGGTCGTTTGGGGACCTTGTGGCACGTAGTGCACCAGGTCTCTGTATTCGGCCCTTCAAAAGTGTGGATGGTCCTTCATGAAATCTTCACCACTATAATCAATTCTCATGTGCTGTTGTCGGGCTGTCGCTTTCCTGGGAACTGATCTGTTTGACCCTCGTACGTCGAGGATATATATATATATATATATATATATATATATATATATATATATGCTTGACCCTCGTACGTCGACCGATATATATATATATATATATATATATATATATATATATATATATATATATACACACTGTGTGGGCATAGCACGGTGACTGGCAGTTTCACACCTTAAGCGATCTCTTTACGCATCTCTGTTCGATTTCATTATGCAATTCAAGGTTTTCACAATAGAATGTGTATTAACAAAGCAATGTTGATAACATTTTCTGGATATACTTATATTTAAATGAAAATTTTCTTACGTGTTTCAGCTTATATCTTTCCTTGTTAGATATATTGATAATTTGTTTTCGGTGTGTCAAGTTTTATTATGCAAGAAAACCAAGTGCCTAATGTATTTATTTGTAAATAAACCCTAAATATATATGCCAAAAAAATATATTTGATTAACACAGTATCTCGTTCACATGAATAAATTTTTCTAAATATTAGATTGGTGCAAAAATAATGTCGTTTTCTCTTTTGAAGTTGAACGTCAAAAACGACATTATTTTTGCACCAACCTAATACTAATACTGTAAATTCCTGAAAAATTCTATAACATTCATGAGTCTTTTAGTCACTGATTTTCTAAATTTTTCTACTGATTCGACTGTAATTACAAC